TTATTAAATATATAAGATAATGTAAAAATATTTTAACATCAAATAAAAAGTATAACTATAAAATATATTAATATCCAAATCAGTAAAAATATAATAATATGTAAAAATTATAAATAAATTCTTATACTCCTTTATATTTGTAAAATCCGAAAAGTTTTGAAAATTCTTCTGGGTTATATCACTAGAGGTATCAAAAATAATAAAAATAACTTCAAATTTCTAGCACAACCTAAATAATTTTTGAAGATTAAAATTAGTTTTTTTCCTAATGCATTAATAATTTCATCTCATTTTCTAAATCCTATTAAAAGTAAATAAAATTTAATATGAATATTACTAAAATTGATTAGAAGCATTCATAATCAAAATTTAAAACTTCTAAACCAAATATCCAAAAATAATAGAATATTCAGACTAATTTCATTATATAGTTTTAAGGCTTTTACAATAATACTTATTTAAAATTTAGTTAGGAGAATCATAAGATTATTTTAAGAATAAATTAAAAATTTAGAGTTCTAAGAGTAAAGATGCAAACAAGTTATGAGATGATAGAATTGCAAGTGAATTAAAAATTTAGAATTAAGGGTAAAGTACATGATTAAAATGGAGAAATAACTTAGGAAAGAAGATGTTCTATTTTAATTTTTTTAATTAAGTTAATGGAGTTATAATCTTATAAAATAAGAAAAAGAAAATTTAAAATATTACAAAAAATATGTTATATTATTTAATTAAATTATCTTCTAATCGAATTTTATTTTGTAATCGGACAATTCAAATGGTTAGAAAGTAAAATCATGAACCAAACCAATTATATCGATTTTAAAATTTTAGAATTCAAGCCAATCCAATTTTATATCGGTTTGGATCGGTTTTTGATTAAATTGGATCAATTTCGATCCGATCAATTGGATTGGATCGGATATGAACACCCCTACGTTTAAGGATATCTCTCATTTCTCATATAATGGTTTGAATCCGGTTCTTTATAAAATTGTTTAAAAAAATAAACAAATGAGTTATAAAAATAGGAATAAAAATAGTACATTTATAAATATTAAATTAAGTAATAATATGAAATTTGAAAATTATTTTATTT